ACACTCCAAGACACCCCTTGGGTCTGCAATTAACCTTTTGTGGCTGAAGTCCTGGGACCTCCTTGGACCATCACAACCCAAAATCCCTTGTTCTGGATCTGACTGCTGACTGTAAGGGAAGTCATAAAACTCTGACACAGCTGGCCTGTATGGGAACATCTATCCTGCAAAAACAAGGTGTTCCCAGATCTCCAGCTTTCCAACAAATGAAAATGAGGTGGACTGAGGCACCGCTGCAATGGCTGAATCACTAATTGAAGCCTCTTTGCTCTATTTTTGGCTTTGTTCCCCGAGCCAGCTGAAATGGAGAATGTTTGACCGGAGAGTGAATTTATATTTCGGCAGATAAACTGGAATAATCGCTGCGGAGAAAGTTGTCAAAAGCAATTATTTGAAATAACGCGGCACAGAACATTTTCTCTAAGCCCTTCTTAGACTAATTCTAGATGTGCGTAACCGCGGAAGTCCTAATTCCTCAGGTCACTTGCGGTAACCGTTCACCAAATTCCAGTCTGCTGACAACATAAGAAAACTTCCTGTTTTGTCGTGATTTCTTTTTCTGAGCGCACCGGCCCTCGTCATACATCGCAATCTCCTGCCGGCTTATGGCTCGTTTCCTTGCGTAGTGAAAAAGACTTCCAACAAAAGCCTTCCACGCTGTTCTCTGTTCATTGTTCTCGGAGGTTTCGGGCCGGGAGGTGAAGAATTATGGCGAGGTGCTATAATCCCTTTGTAGAGGCCAGATCGCGCAGCGGAGGAACGCAGAGAATGTATATAGAGTCACGGGGAAAAGTACGTTCACCCCATGGACATTGTTGACGTTTTCAACATATTTGAACAGGCAAACATTAGATCTTGAATCAAACAGTGTCTACAGAGACAAGGTGACATACTACACTCAACGGCCACTTTATTAGGTCAACCTTGCTAGTGCCAAGAAAATCTCCCCCACACCAAGACACCATCACCACCAGCCTGAACCATGGATACAAGACAGGATGGATCCACCACACGATGACACCACCACCACCAGCCTGAACCGTTGATACAAGACAGGATGGATCCACCACACCATGACACCACCACCACAAGCCTGAACCATTGATACAAGACAGGATGGATCCACTTTACCATGACACCACCACCACCAGCCTGAACCATTGATACAAGACAGGATGGATCCACCACACGATGACACCACCACCACCAGCCTGAACTGTTGGTATAAGGCAGGATGGATCCACCACACCATGACACCACCACCAGCCTGAACCATTGATACAAGGCAGGATGGATCCACCACACCATGACACCACCAGGGGCGGACTGACCATTTGAAAACTCGGGCACTGTCCGAGGGCCCCATGAGATGCCCCTGGTACCTTTTTCATAGGCTTTTTTGAGTTTGGGCAAGGACACAGGGGCCCCATGATCCCCTATTGCCCGGGGGGCCCATGAGTTGTCAGTCCGCCCCTGAACACCACCACCACCAGCCTGAACCGTTGATACAAGGCAGAATGGATCCCCCACAACATGACACCACCAGCCTGAACCGTTGATACAAGGCAGGATGGATCCCCCACAACATGACACCACCAGCCTGAACCGTTGAAACAAGGCAGAATGGATCCCCCACAACATGACACCACCACCAGCCTGAACCGTTTATACAAGGCAGGATGGATCCCCCACACCATGACACCACCACCACCAGCCTGAACCATTGATACAAGGCAGGATGGATCCCCCACACCATGACACCACCACCACCAGCCTGAACCATTGATACAAGGCAGGATGGATCCCCCACACCATGACACCACCACCACCAGCCTGAACCGCTGATACAAGGCAGGATGGATCCCCCACACCATGACACCACCATCAGCCTGAACCGCTGATACAAGGCAGGATGGATCCCCCACACCATGACACCACCAGCAGGAACCATTGATACAAGGCAGGATGGATCCACCACACCATGACACCACCACCACCAGCCTGAACCGCTGATACAAGGCAGGATGGATCCCCCACACCATGACACCACCATCAGCCTGAACCGCTGATACAAGGCAGGAAGGATCCCACACACCATGACACCACCACCACCAGTCTGAACCGTGGATACAAGGCAGGATGGATCCACCACACCATGACACCACCAGCCTGAACGTTAATACAAGGCAGGATGGATCCATGCTTCCATGTTGTTTGCGCCAAATTCTGACCCTACCATCTAAATGTCGCAGCTGAAAAACAGACTCAGGCTCATCAGACCAGGCCACGTTCTGCCAATCTTCTATTGTCTAATTTTTGTGATCCTGTGTGAATTGTAGCCTCCATTTTCTGTTCTTAGCTGACAGGAGTGGCACCCGGTTCGGTCTTTTGCTGCTGTAGCCCATCTGCTTCATGGTTGGATGTGTTGTGCATTCAGAGATGGTATTCTGCATACCTTGGGTGTAACGAGTGGTTATTGGAGTTACTGTTGCCTTTCTATCATCTGGAACCAGTCTGCCCATTCTCCTCTGACCTCTGACCTCAACAAGGCATTTTCCTCCACACAACTGCAGCTCACTGGATATTTTCTCTTTTTCGGACCATTCTCTGTAAACCCTAGAGATGGTTGTGCAGGAAAATGCCAGGAGATCAGAAGTTCTGGAAATACTCAGACCAGCCCGACTGGCACCAACAACAATGCCACGTTCAAAGTCACTTAAATCCCTTTTCTTCCCCATTCTGATGCTCGTTTTGAACTTTAGCAAGTCTTTTCACCACGTCTAGATGCCTAAATGCATTGAGTTGCTGCCATGTGATTGGCTGATTAGCAATTTGTGTTACCAAGCCATGGAACAGGTGTACCTAATAAAGTGGCCGATGAGTGTGTATAAATAAATGACATAAAACAAGAACATGGTGTATTCATTTTCATGATCCATATTTCCGAAAGTGCAGAATTGTTACCTGGAAAAAGTAAGTATACCCCCACAGTTACCACCGCTTCAGATCCATGAGATTATAATCCAGCATTCCAGATTGGGTGCTAATGATATGAACAGCAGTTGCCAACCTCAGCCCCCAACTACACCCAACAGTCCATGTTTTAGGAATTTCCCATAGATGAAATAGCTGTCATAAATACCAAGCCATTGACATTGATTTTAGGCACCTGTGCACAGTGAAGGAAATCCTGAGGGTTGGGGATTACTTGAAGATTGAGATTGGGAACCATTGGATTAGAACTTCCTTAGGGAGTCTACAGATGGAATTAAGCGCACATATTCGCCAGCACACTATGGATCCTCAAATGTCGTCCAAAGCTTTTATTGCAGAAAGATCACATCACAAAGGGCCAAGTGCAACGGTTTGGAGCCACGTAGGACCTCCTCATCATGCATGTCCTGACAAAGGAGTCCTGCACGGCTCCGAAACGTTGCACTTTGTCCTTTATGATGTGATCTTTCTACAATAAAAGCTTTGATGATCCATGGTGTGCTGGCCAATATGTGCATTGATCCGTGAGGAATCCAGTATCCAGTTGGTAATCACTGTAGCACCCACTACTGACGTGTCCTGTCTCCAGAAGGGTGTGCGATGGGAATATAGACAAGATGCTTGGCGCTGATCAGAGATGGCTTCCTGAAGTGAAAGTTCTGCCTCTACAAGAGGGACCAACCAGCTTCTACCCGTCTTCACTGACACCATGAGCAAAATGGGCAGATCGCTTTACTCCACAAAGACCCCACATTTCCAACTGGGAAGCAACTTACCCATCAGCAGACAGACACGGCCACCAAGCCCAAATCCAAAATCCATCTGGACACGGTTCTCTCTCTTATGCAGCAGATGTCTAAAATGTCAAATCTTCAAACTATTGCCTCCAACATTAAGCCATTTCCTACCAATGGAGGTGCTCAGAGGAGTGGCGAACTGCTTAGTGGATGTAGAGGAGAAGGTGGGCTGCCATGATGCAGACATTCGGGATATTCCAGAGGACTCTCGTGTGCACTCTCGCCAGCTCATGGAGCTACAGAGAAAGCTCAAAGACCTGAATTACAGAGGCACAGGAAAAATCTCCGTATACGGAATATAAAACTCCGACATCTCAGATCTGGTCTTCCCTATTGATATATGTGTGATGTCATCATGCCAAGATCAGTGCAGCTCTCTAAGGCCCTCAGAAAGAAAGTTCTGGATGTCTATGAATCTGGGAAGGGATTTAAAAGATTGCCAAATGATTTAAAACCAATCATTCCACCTTAAGGAAAATAATCTACAAGGTTTCAAATGGCCACTAGTTTTGCCCAGGACTGGCCAGCCAGACAAATGTGACCCAAGATCTGACTGCCTGATGAAGTCTCCAAGAGCCCCAGCATTTCATAGAGGAGTGTTCAGTTACAGTTGTGGTCAAAGCGCATCTACAATCAGAAAGAGATTGTACCAATTCAACCTGCATGAGAGAAAAGCCTTTACTGTCAAGAAAGAACATTAGAGAAAGGTTACAGTTGGCCATTGAACATATAGACAAAAACCAAACCTTCCGGAACAATGTGCTGGTGACTGATAAGTCAAAGATAGAGTTGTTTGTTCATAGTAACAGTAGACATGTTTGCTGCAAACTGATGACAGTATTTCAGGAGAAGAACCTCATACCAACTGTGAAGCTTGGTGGTGCATATATCATGGTTTGGGGGTTGCTTTGCTGCTTCACAACTTGTGCAGCCTGCAGTCACTGAGTCAACTACACATTCTGCATAATATCAAAGTGTGCTTGAGGAGAACGTGAGGCCATCTGATCAAAAGTTGAAGATGAACAGCAAATGGATCTCTCAACAAGATAATGATCTGAAGAACACTAGCAGGTCCACCAAAGAATGGCTGAGAATGAAGAAATGGAGGGTTATGGATGGCCATAGTCAAATCCCTGAAATGTTATATGGAGAGTTGAAGCGAGTAGTTTATGCAAAGAAACCCACAAATACACTATATTGCCCATAGTATTGTCCACGCCCCTCCCAATCATGTGATTCAGGTGTTCCAATCCCCTCCCAATCATGTGATTCATGTGTTCCAATCCCCTCCCAATCATGTGATTCAGGTGTTCCAATCCCCTCCCAATCATGTGATTCAGGTGTTCCAATCCCCTCCCAATCATGTGATTCAGGTGTTCCAATCCCCTCCCAATCATGTGATTCAGGTGTTCCAATCCCCTCCCAATCATGTGATTCAGGTGTTCCAATCCCCTCCCAATCATGTGATTCAGGTGTTCCAATCCCCTCCCAATCATGTGATTCAGGTGTTCCAATCCTCTCCATATCATGTGATTCAGGTGTTCCAATCCCCTTCATATCATGTGATTCAGGTGTTCCAATCCCCTCCATATCATGTGATTCAGGTGTTCCAATCTCCTCCAATCATGTGATTTGGGTGTCCCAATCCCCCCATATCATGTGATTCAGGTGTTCCAATCCCCTCCCAATCATGTGATTCAGGTGTTCCAATCCCCTCCATATCATGTGATTCAGGTGTTCCAATCCCCTCCATATCATGTGATTCAGGTGTTCCAATCCCCTCCATATCATGTGATTCAGGTGTTCCAATCCCCTCCATGGACACAGGTGTATACAATCAAGCCCCTAGGCATGCAGACGGCTTCTACAAACATTGGTGAAAGAATGGGTCGCTCTCAGGAGCTCAGTGACTCCAAGCGTGGTCCCGTGATAGGTGGTCACCTGGGCAATAAGTCCATCCGTGACATTTCCTGGCTACTAAATATTCCACGCTCAACTGTTAGTGGGATTATAACAAAGTGGAAGCGACTGGGAACAACAGCCACTCAGCCACCAAGTGGTAGGCCACGTCACATGACAGGGCGGGGTCAGCGCATGCTGAAGCGCACAGTGCGCAGAAGTCACCAACTGTCTGCAGAGTCAATAGCTAAAGACCTCCAAACTTGGTGTGGCCTTCAGGTGAGCCCAACAACAGTGCGTAGAGAGCTTCATGGAATGGGTTTCCATGGCCGAGCAGCTGCATCCAAGCCTTCCATCACCAAGTGCAATGCAAAGCGTCGGATGCCGTGGTGTAAAGCACGCCGCCACTGGACTCTAGCGCAGTGTTTGCATTGAATGCTGTCTGGACTCTGGGTGAAGAGCGGCTCTGGTGGGAGAGGAGGGGGCAGAGAGCTACTACGCCATGAAAGATGCTGGGGCAGCCAGGTCCTCAACTCCAGCCGAGGGGATGGCTTGCTCCTGCTGGGGACGGATGAATCTGGATATAACATTTATAGGGAAAGTTGATCCAGGGAATATCTGATTGCCTCTCAGGGGATCAAGAAGGAATTATTTCCCTGCAGGAGGAGATTGGATCGTGCTTTGCTGGGATTTTTTGCCTTCCCCTGGATCAACTGTGGGTGGAGGATTATAACTTTTTATTATTTAAATGGTTAAACAGGATTTTTTCAGCCAGACTAACTATGTAACTATGGATCGTCTCAGAGTGCAGGGGCAGGAGCGGGGACCTGCAGGAGAGCCGGTGGAGGAAGCAGGGAGCTCAGATGAGCTTGTTGGGGAAGCCGATGTCTTAAAACAGCCTGGGGCAATGCCGCCCGCCCTGAAAATTGCCACCCAATCAAATGCCTTGTTTGCCTCATGGTAAATATGCCACTGGCCTCCAGAGCAAGCACTGCTCAAGGGGGAGGAGCCCAGAGCGCTGGTGGGGGACCCGAGAAGAGGATGATCGAGGCTGCTCTGTGCAAAACCGCTACACAGAGAGCAGGCAAGTATGACATGTTTGTTATTTTAATACCACTGTAAGTAAGGGACACCACCAGCAGTGAAGTCAGTTTCCTACTGCACATGTGCAAAATGCTCTGCGCATTCTGATTGGTCCCGCAGTCTTCTGGGACCTGTGATGTGCCCCAGAAGGCTGCGTGGGAAGGAAGGGGGGGTCATATCGCCGCAGCACATCTTACCCCGGAAGTAGGAGCAGGTACCTGTCAAAACCAGATACCCGCCCCCCCCTCTCAAAAAAATGTGGCTGGGGGGGGGGAGGGATCCTTTTGGGTGACGCTCCACTTTAAGGTAGCTCAGTGCTAAATAAGAGAAATAGGAAAAATAGGAAAAAAAATGTCCTGCTCATGAAGGGCTAAAACCTTCTGGAGCTTCAGTGGATTCCCCCTGAGGTCATCACAGAGGACAAGGGGGCGCTCTTTACATCTGGAGGAAAAGAAATGTCATCTCCAAACATGGAAAGGTTTCTTCACAGTAAGAGCTGAGAATGTGGAATAGACTCCCTCCAGAGTTGGTTGTGGACAGCTCAGTGGATTGCTGTAGGAAAGTCCTGGATTCTTTCTTGGATACACAGAATATAACTGGATAGAACATTTATAGGGAAAGTTGATCCAGAGGATACCCCCCAGATCATCCCAATTCCTGCACCTTCACCCCCAGATCATCCCAATTCCTGCACCTTCACCCCCAGATCATCCCAATTCCTGCACCTTTAACCTCCCCCCCCCCCCCCCCCCCCGGTTATCCCAATTCCTGCACCTTCACCCCCAGATCATCCCATTCCTGCACCTTCACCCCCAGATCATCCCAATTCCTGCACCTTCACCCCCAGATCATCCTAATTCCAGCACCTTCACCCCCAGATCATCCCAATTCCTGCACCTTCACCCCCAGATCATCCTAATTCCTGCACCTTTAACATCCCCTCATTCCCCCCCCCCCCCCCCCAGGTTATCCCAATTCCTGCACCTTCACCCCCAGATCATCCCAATTCCTGCACCTTCACCCCCCCCCCTGATCATCCTAATTCCTGCACCTTCACCCCCAGATCATCCCAATTCCTGCACCTTCACCCCCAGATCATCCCAATTCTTGCACCTTCAGACATCAGATCATCCCAATTCCTGCACCTTTACCCCCCCCCCCGGTTATCCCAATTCCTGCACCTTCACCCCCAGATCATCCCAATTCCTGCACCTTCACCCCCCAGATCATCCCAATTCCTGCACCTTCACCCCCAGATCATCCTAATTACTGCACCTTCACCCCCAGATCATCATCCCAATTACTGCACCTTCACCCCCAGATCATCCCAATTCCAGGCCTGCACCTTTAACCTCCCCCCCCCCCCCCCCCCCCCAGTTATCCCAATTCCTGCACCTTCACCCCCAGATCATCCTAATTCCTGCACCTTCACCCCCAGATCATCCCAATTCCTGCACCTTCACCCCCAGATCATCCTAATTCCAGCACCTTCACCCCCAGATCATCCCAATTCCTGCACCTTCACCCCCCAGATCATCCCAATTCCTGCACCTTCACCCCCCCCCCCCGTGATCATCCCAATTCCTGCACCTTCACCCCCAGATCATCCTAATTCCTGCACCTTCACCCCCAGATCATCCCAATTCCTGCACCTTCACCCCCAGATCATCCCAATTCCTGCACCTTCACCCCCAGATCATCCCCTGCACCTTCACCCCCAGATCATCCAATTCCTGCACCTTCACCCCCTCACCCCATATCATCCCAATTCCTGCACCTTCACCCCCAGATCATCCCAATTCCTGCACCTTCACCCCCAGATCATCCTAATTCCTGCACCTTCACCCCCAGATCCCAACCTATTCCTGCACCTTCACCCCCAGATCATCCCAATTCCTGCACCTTCACCCCCAGATCATCCCAATTCCTGCACCTTCACCCCCAGATCATCCCAATTCCTGCACCTTCACCCCCAGATCATCCAATTCCTTGCACCTCCTCATTCAACCCCCCCAGATCATCCCAATTCCTGCACCATTCACCCCCAGATCATCCCAATTCCTGCACCTTCACCCCCAGATCATCCTAATTCCTGCACCTTCACCCCCAGATCATCCTAATTCCTGCACCTTCACCCCCAGATCATCCCAATTCCTGCACCTTCAGACATCAGAGATCATCCCCAATTCCTGCACCTTCACCCCCAGATCATCCCAATTCTTGCACCTTCAGACATCAGATCACCCCAATTCCTGCACCTTCACCCCCAGATCATCCTAATTCCTGCACCTTCACCCCCAGATCATCCTAATTCCTGCACCTTCACCCCCAGATCATCCTAATTCCTGCACCTTCACCCCCAGATCATCCTAATTCCTGCTGCACCTTTTACCCCCAGATCATCCCAATTCCTGCACCTTTAACCCCCCCCCCCCCGGTTATCCCAATTCCTGCACCTTCACCCCCAGATCATCCCAATTCCCTGCACCTTCACCCCCAGATCATCCCAATTCCTGCACCTTCACCCCCCAGATCATCCCAATTCCTGCACCTTCCACCCCAGATCATCCCAATTCTTGCACCTTCAGACATCAGATCACCCAAATTCCCTGCACCTTCCCCCCCCCCCCGACCATCTCAATTCCTGCACCTTCACCCCCCCATCATCCCGATTCGTGCACCTTCACCCCCAGATCATCCCAATTCCTGCACCTTCACCCCACAGATACCCCCAATTCCTGCACCTTCACCCCCCCCCCCCCCCATCATCCCAATTCCTGCCCCTTCACCCCCCATCACCCCAATTCCTGCACCTTCACCCCCCCCATCATCCCAATTCCTGCACTTTTACCCCCAGATCATCCCAGTTCTGAACCTTCACCCCCCCAGACCATCCCGATTCCTGCACCTTCACCCCCCCCAGATCCCCCCAATTCCTACACCTTCATCCCCCCAGCATCCCAATTTCTGCACCTTCACCCCCCCCCCTTCCCCAGATCATCCCAATTCTTGCACATTCAGACATCAAGTAAAGGTGATCCCGGGAATATCCGATTGCCTCTCGGGGGATCAGGAAGGAATTGTTTCCCCTGCAGGAGGAGATCGGATCGTGCTTTGCTGGTGTTTTTGCCTTCCTCTGGATCCACTGTGGGTGGAGGATTATAACTTCTTGTTTTTTTTTTTAATGGTTGAACTGGATGGACTTTTGTCTTTTTTCAGCCAGACTAACTATTATAAAGAGAAGGAAAAGGTAGATTTTTTTTTTCAAGCGTACTTCGCTCATTCGGCAACACCAAGAGCTTCTACTTTGGCGATTTCACACGGTGAGATCAGTTTTGCCGCCTTCACCGGTCTCCTCCTTCCTCCGAACACATATTAAGGTGAAAGGCTGACCCTTTGCACTGCGCTCTCCTCTGTAGGGAGAAGTTCTGAAAATGACTTTATAAAGGAGACCGGCAGCCCCCGAAATACGCATTGGGTTAAAAAACCCGACAGTATAGAGGAAAAGTGCGGTTCCTTTGAAGCGCCGAGGCTCTTGGCACTTCCGATTTGGCTCCGGAGCCTCGCTGCTGACAGCTTGAAAACCTCTCCCTTCTGAAGCCACCTCTGTAGGTGGACAAAGTTTACGGCCAACAGCCGAGTCTCCCTTTTCCAAAGTGCTTGTTTGCTTCGGGTCCCAGATGTTGCGTTCTGGAAAATATTTTTTAAACACTGTTGAGAGGGTCACATACAGGTCCCCTTAGTCACTCCGCAGCCGCAGTCATTGTTTTAGAGAGAAAATTGTAACCCAGTCAGTTTGGAAGCCAACGGAGAGGAAGAATCTTGGAGGTTTTGCTGGCAAATTGAGACGTCTTTGAGGTCCTGCTGACAGCAGGCCTGGCGCGTCAAAGGTATTTGAAAGGAGGACTGTCTGGGTAGCTCCCAGCAACCAATCAGATGCAAAAGAATTGATTACGGCATGGACAGCCAGATTTGCGGGGGTTGGGGGGAGATCGGCCCCTCTGGATTTATCCCTTTATGGTGTCGGA